TGGTGCAAGTCTATGTAAAAATGGTGTTGGGGGCTACGGAGCTCGTCTTCAAGCAGCCATGCTTACCAAGCGCGTCACGTGACTCAGGAGGCACTATTTTTGATGGAAAAGCATGCGAACTGAACCGTGCCGTAACGTGTAGTGTCGTTCCGTATCGTACTGACACTGTGGAAAAGCGGCACAAGAAGGCCGAGTACTCTGCACTGCTGTTAGGCCCGTAGGCCGTCACAACAGTGAGAGACTTGTCCCCCAGCCAGAGGCGGAGGGACGTGACCCTCTCATTCACCGGGGAGAACTCCAACACGTGGCGGCTGAGATGGGGGCAATGAGCATGGCCACCCCAGCTCGCCGCCTCTCTCCGCAGGAAACACCAGAAAAGTGGAGCGTCCAACCCTTCTCAAGGAGTTGGGTTCCAGAGCCCAAGCTGTGTGTGGAGGTGAGGCCGACTATCTCTAGTCGGTATCTCTCAACCTCCCCCATGAGCTCGAGCTCCTTCCCCCCCAGTGAGGTGACGTTCCACGTCCCAAGAGCCAGATGTTGGGTGTGCGGACTGGGTCGCAGAGGTCTCCGCCTTCGACTGCTGCCCAGTCCTCTCTGCACCGAGCCTTTAATACTCAGAGTATTTTAATGCAATCATGAACTTGGTCCTAGTTTCAAGAACTCAGTTATTATTGTTCATATTCTGTATTTTATTTTTCATGTTTACGTTTGTCACCATTGATCTCACAGTCACTGGTCCTTCAGCAGAGACCATGTATCTCTACAGGACTCTCTTTGGTCCTTCAGGAGAGACCATGTGTCTCTACAGGACAGGACTCTCTTTGGTCCTTCAGCAGAGACCATGTGTCTCTACAGGACTCTCTTTGGTCCTTCAGCAGAGACCATGTGTCTCTACAGGACTCTCTTTGGTCCTTCAGCAGAGACCATGTGTCTCTACAGGACTCTCTTTGGTCCTTCAGCAGAGACCATGTGTCTCTACAGGACTCTCTTTGGTCCTTCAGCAGAGACCATGTGTCTCTACAGGACTCTCTTTGGTCCTTCAGCAGAGACCATGTGTCTCTACAGGACTCTCTTTGGTCCTTCAGCAGAGACCCTGTGTCTCTACAGGACTCTCTTTGGTCCTTCAGCAGAGACCATGTGTCTCTCCAGGTCATTTATATATACCTGGAGGGACACATATTATATTAAATGTATATATTTATATACATTTATACAGTTATATACATTTATAGAGAGTTATATAGAGTTATATACATTTATATACATTTATATACAGTTATATATAGTTATATATAGTTTTATACAGTTCAATGAACTCAGGTTCATTGATTCAAAGTCAGGTCTCTGCAAAAACACTGTGTTTAGGAGAAGGCTCTAGACTCTCAGTCAGGGCTGAGATGTGTATATACATACATACACACACACGCACGCACACACACACACACACACAGTGAGTGTGATGGCCAGCATCACTGACTCTAATCTCTTTTATCTGGTTACATAAGCAGAGGTTTACGCTGGTGGACGTTTGAAAAACATTCTGGTCCAAAATCCCTGACACATGTTAGAGAGGACCGAAAGGGCCAAGAGAGGACCGAGAAGGCCGAGAGAGGACCGAGAAGGCCGAGCAAGGGCCAAGAGAGGACCGAGAAGGCTGAGAGAGGGCCGAGAAGGCTGAGAGAGGGCCGAGAGAGGGCCGAGAAGGCCGAGAGAGGGCCAAGAGACCGAGACCGAGAAGGCTGAGAGAGAGGCCGAGAAGGCCGAGAGAGGACCGAGAAGGCCGAGAGAGGGCCAAGAGAGGGCCGAGAGAGGGCCAAGAGAGGACCGAGAAGGCCGAGAGAGGGCCGAGAGAGGGCCGAGAGAGGGCCGAGAAGGCCGAGAGAGGGCCGAGAGAGGACCGAGAGAGGGCCGAGAGAGGGCCAAGAGAGGGCCGAGAGAGGACCGAGAAGGCCGGAGAGAGGACCGAGAAGGCCGAGAGAGGACCGAGAGAGGACCGAGAGAGGGCCGAGAGAGGACCGAGAAGGCCGAGAGAGGACCGAGAGAGAGGACCGAGAGAGGGCCGAGAGAGGGCCGAGAGAGGGCCGAGAGAGGGCCGAGAGAGGGCCGAGAAGGCCGAGAGAGGGCCGAGAGAGGACCGAGAGAGGGCCGAGAGAGGGCCAAGAGAGGGCCGAGAGAGGGCCAAGAGAGGACCGAGAAGGCCGAGAGAGGACCGAGAGAGGACTGAGAGAGGGCCGAGAGAGGACTGAGAGAGGGCCGAGAGAGGACTGAGAGGACTGAGAGAGGGTTGAGAGAGAACTGAGAGGGTTGAGAGAGGGCCGAGAGAGGACTGAGAGGACTGAGAGAGGGTTGAGAGAGGGCCGAGAGAGGACTGAGAGAGGGTTGAGAGAGGACTGAGAGAGGGTTGAGAGAGGGCCGAGAGAGGACTGAGAGGACTGAGAGAGGACTGAGAGGACTGAGAGAGGACTGAGAGAGGGCCGAGAGAGGACTGAGAGAGGACTGAGAGAGGACCGAGAGAGGACTGAGAGAGGACTGAGAGAGGGCCGAGAGAGGACTGAGAGAGGACTGAGAGAGGGCCGAGAGAGGACTGAGAGAGGACTGAGAGAGGACTGAGAGAGGACTGAGAGAGGACTGAGAGAGGACTGAGAGAGGACTGAGAGAGGGCCGAGAGAGGACTGAGAGAGGACTGAGAGAGGGCCGAGAGAGGACTGAGAGAGGACTGAGAGAGGGCCGACAGGACCAAGCTATAGTTCAGTATAGTATAGTATAGTAGAGCTCAGTTATGTTTATGCAGAGTATATCAGTTCGTTTTGTTGCTAAAGAATGATTAAATATTATTCATAAAGATCATATTATACATTTGTTGTGGTGGATCCTTCACTCTGAACTTTAACTTCCTGCTGTGTACATTCTTTCTAAAGTGTGACATTTCCGTGGGACAGCTGCAGCAGGATGTGGGGGGGGGGGGGGGTCTCCTGCTGGAGTGACATTGATATGAACTTCTCTGAATAGAAAAATGAGTAACAGCACCATCTTATGTTAGTGTACCGGTACTACACCTATAATACATTAGTATTCTTTGTTCTTTCACACAGGTGTGAGGCGCCATGTGAATCTTTCAAGAAGCCATTTCCAGTCCAGCAGTGACATAACAGAAGGATAGGGGGCGCTGTCCCACTGGACTGGAAATGTTTGAGGCAAAACAACATCGTGCGGTGGAGAAGAAGGAGTCGAGCACAGAGACCGGTGAGAAATACTTAGAACTACTACATGATTACATGATTACATGAATACATGACTACATGATTCCATGACTACATGACTACATTACTACATTACTACATTACTACATTACTGCATGATTACATGATTACATGATTACATGACTACATTACTGCATGATTACATGATTACATGACTACATTACTACATTACTGCATGATTACATGATTACATGAATACATGACTACATGATTCCATGACTACATGACTACATTACTACATTACTACATTACTACATTACTGCATGATTACATGATTACATGATTACATGATTACATGACTACATTACTGCATGATTACATGATTACATGACTACATTACTACATTACTGCATGATTACATGATTACATGATTACATGATTACATGAATACATGATTACATGACTACATTACTACATTACTGCATGATTACATGATTACATGATTACATGATTACATGACTACATTACTGCATGATTACATGATTACATGACTACATTACTGCATGATTACATGATTACATGACTACATGATTACATGATTACATGATTACATGATTACATGACTACATGAATACATGAATACATGATTACATGATTACATGACTACATGAATACATGAATACATGACTACATGATTACATGATTACATGATTACATGACTACATGAATACATGAATACATGATTACATGATTACATGACTACATGATTACATGATTACATTACTACATTACTGCATGATTACATGATTACATGACTACATGATTACATGACTACATGATTACATGAATAATGATTACATGATTACATGAATACATGAATACATGATTACATGATTACATTACATGACTACATGATACATGATTACATGATTACATACTACATGAATACTGATTACATGATTACATGACTACATGACTACATGATTACATGCACATACATGAATACATGACTGTTTACATGATTACATGATTACATGTAATACATGATTACATGAATACATGATTACATGATTACATGACTACATGATTACATGATTACATGATTAAATGATTAAATGATTACATGATTACATGATTACATGATTAAATGATTACATGATTACATGATTACATGATTACATGATTACATGATTACATGATTACATGATTACATGATTACATGATTACATGATTACATGATTACATGATTACATGATTACATGATTACATGACTACATGATTACATAATTACATGATTACATGAATACATGATTACATGAATACATGATTACATGAATACATGATTACATGACTACATTACTGCATTACTGCATGATTACATGAATACATGACTACATGAATACATGATTACATGAATACATGATTACATGAATACATGATTACATGACTACATGATTACATGATTACATGAATACATGAATACATGATTACATGATTACATGAATACATGATTACATGATTACATGAATACATGACTACATGATTACATGACTACATGACTACATGACTACATGATTACATGATTACATGACTACATGATTACATGATTACATGACTACATGAATACATGATTACATGATTACATGAATACATGATTACATGACTACATGATTACATGATTACATGATTAATGATTACATGAATACATGATTACATGATTACATGAATACATGATTACATGAATACATGATTACATGATTACATGACTACATGAATACATGATTACATGAATACATGATT